TACATGGGGAGCTTGTTGTTACAAAGCGGTCCTTTGAATCTCTCTGACTTTCTGCCGTGCATTCTTCCCCCTGGTTTTTGATGGTAATGAGGCACTGCTGACAAGGACATAACAGACAGCGTTAAATCTGAGATGTCAGGAGACTTGGAAGGTGCTTTGCTGGCTGTGGGTGAGCGCCCTGCTTTTAAACGTTGTCTGCAAAGCAGTGAAATGATGAGAGGTGCTGTGTCTACCCTCGAGCGGCTGTTACGTGCTTTCAGGAGGCAGTTGTGGTTTGTCTTTGTGGGCACAAAGCCAGGCTGGGTGGGACTTGGAGTGCCCTGGTGTAGAGGGGGGTGTCCCTGAGATGGCAGGGGGTTGGAACTTGATGATTTTAGGTGTCCCCTCCAACCCAAACCACTCTGATTCTGTGCTTTACAGACGAAATCAGGTGAGAAAGCTTTGTGCTCTATGGTACAGTGTGCTTGGCCAAAGGGAGCTTTGGCAGCAGAGGTTTGCTGTCAGGAGGCACAAAAGCCTTCATGCAAATCCTGCTGTGTGCAGGCACAGAGACATCAGCTCACAGCACATCACTGACTACATGCCTGCACTGCAGCTGCTGTTTGTTAACCTGGAGTTGCATCTTGGCAGAAGAAACAGCTGCACCAAGGAAGTGCTGCAGCGGTGTGGAAAACCTCCTGTTTCTACTGGCCTTAATTCTCTTGTTAATTCCCTTAATTCTCTTGTTCTTGTCTCTCCTTACAGTACAGTGCGTGCGAAACGAGCCTGCGTGCTTTGCTAAAGGCTGTGTAAACCCACGAAGGTAAACAGATTGTGGAGTAAGATTGCTTGCTTCTTTCTTGCATTTTCGTGCTTGAGTCAGCCAGCAGCATCATGGCAATCATGAGATGGAAGCTGCAGCCACTCAGGAAACTGGCTGTTCCAGGAAAGCTCAGGCTTTTCTGCACATCAGGGTAACAGCCATACTCAGGAGCAAGCTGCTGCTCATGGATTGCTCCATGAATGCAAAAATGCTGTAATGAAGAGCAGCTCCTGCACAGGACTGGGCCCTGAGACCTTTGTGTTTGCAGGTGATTCTCCAGCAGTTCTGTGTTGGCTGCACGTGGCTGCTTTGCTTCCCAGGGTCTGGGAGCAGCCGACAGCACTGTGATCAGAGCGATGGTGTCCTGCTCCAAAATAGATCTGCTGGATATCAGAAGGGAATTCCTGACCACGTAGGAGTCTCTCTACTCCTTCATGAAGGTAAACTTGTTGATGTTGGACACAAACAGTGGGATTTTCTGAGTGCCTTTAAGGACTGATCCCCCGTTGACACCTGTTGGGTATTTTAGAGCAGCTGGGATGAAGCAGACCTTAAAAAAAAAAAACGTACTGACAATGTTCCTGAATATTCCTAAATTGTCTAGGATACAAACGCTGCAAAAAGAAATCTGTCTTAAGAAGAATTTTACTTTAATAGAACTTAGAAATTATTCATATTCCTTTTTTTTTCTCTTCTCAGTAACTCTGTTTGCTCTGAACTTCTCTCCTCCTCTTCTTTTTTTCTGCACTCTTCTCCCGCTTTTCTCTTCACCATTCCTTCATTTCTTCCTCCATCTGTCCTTTCCTCTTTTGCTGTTCCCTCTGTTCTCCCTGCCCTCTCTTTTTTATCTCTTGTCCTTTTTAGATCTGCTCTTCTCACCTGTATTTTCTGTTCTGTCCTCTTTCTTTTCCCCTCTCGTTCATCACCTTTCTGTTCTTCCCCCTTAGAAGCTCCTCTCTTCCCTTTTTTCTTTGTTCTACTCTGTCTTTTCTCTCCTCTCCTTCTCTCCTCTCCTCTCTGTGGCAAGAGGACTCTGAGCTCCCTTGCTGGTGTGGCAAGAGAGGCGCAGGCTCCCTTGCTGGTGCAGAAGGAGGAACGAAAGACCTTTATTGTAGTGCTTACAACCTTTAATACCTACACATCAACAACTGGTTACATGTAGGAACCAGGCACCTCGTGTGTTTACATCTCAAGTTACTGCTGAGCTTTTTTACTCATTAGCAAAACAGCGACTTTCTTTATCCCTTCTTTATTAATAGATAAAGAAGCACGGTTCAGAAACAATCCTAAAAGGAGCTAAACTAAAAGTAATACACTGAACAAAGGGGGGGTTCTTTAGAGTACAAACAATAGTCCATGTAAACCAACCCCAACAATTCCAACTTATGATTCCTCGGTGACACAATTGACAAAGTGTGAGAGTCCAAACCAGATGAGGCCTCAGCAGGGCAGAGCAGAGGGGGAGGATCACTTCCCTCCACCTGCTGGCCATGCTCTTTTTAATGCATGCCAGGATGCCATTGGCCCTCTTGGCCACAAGGGCACACTGCTGGCTCATGGCCGACCTGTCGTCCACCAGGACACCCAGGTCCCTCTCCGCAGAGCTCCCCTCCAGCAGCTCATCCCCCAACCTGTAGTGGTGCATGCACTTATTCCTCCCCAGATGCAAGACTCTACACTTGCTGTTGTTAAACCTCATCCGTTTTTTTTTTTTCACGTACTGTAGTTTATTCTTTGAGGCTCTCAGTCCCTGTTTCCCTAGAAAATTTAGCAGTTCGTTCGTAGCCTTTTTAACCTCTGCTTTTTCTGGTCCTGACAGCAAGAGATCATCTACATATTGTAGGAGTGACACTTCCTCTGGTGCCTGAAAGCGTTCTAATATTTGCTCCAAAACAGATTTGGTGATTCTGCAAACCCCTGAGGCAGAACCATCCACTCATACTGTTGTTTTCACCCTCTCAGGATCTTCCCACTCAAAAGCAAATATATCTCTGCTCTCCAGATCCAGGAGACAAAACCAAAAGACGTCTTTTAGCTCTATAACACATTTATCTTCATTTGGGACTTTATTCATCAAGGTACATGGGTTTGGAACCGCTGGATGTCGTTTTTGTACTATTTCATTAATTCTTCTCAAGCCTTGGACCAATCGATAGGAGCCATGAGGTTTCCTTACTGGCAGAATGGGGAATGGAAGGGCGACACGCACGGTTCCAAAAACCCATCTTTCAGCAATCCTTGTATCACAGGTTCAAGCTTGGTACGTCCCTCAAAAGGAACTGGATATTGCTTGTCTTATGGTCTCATATTTTTCCTGCAACTTTATTTTTAAAGGGGCTGTTTTCAGCCCCCTCCCCTCCTTTGCCCACACCACAGGATCTCTTTCTCATCTGCCTCAGTTAACACATTCATTGGTACTGTCATTCCCTCCTGGTGGGTTGTTATTTGCATTCCCAGTTTCATCATAAGATCTCTCCCCAGCAAATTAGTCCCTGCCTCAGGTACATGCAGTAACTGCCCTGTTATTGTCCTATTCCCTACTTTTCAAAAAGTGGCACTGTCATCCCAGTCCTGTTATCTACCCCCGTTATCCTTAGAGTCTCATCCGTTAATTTGAGTCCTGACACTTTATGAGCTAGCAGTGATCGAGCTGCCCCAGTATCGACTAAAAATATAACCTCCTCCCCTTCAGGTCCTGGTTTCACATTTACCAAGGGCTCCTGCTGGGACCAACTTTTCAGAACCCCTGACACCCTATTCTGAATTTAAAGCAGCTTGTAGCGTCTCCTCTCTCTCCACTCTGGGCAGTTTTTCTTTACATGTCCTAGCTTACCACACTTGGAACACCTCCTTTCACTGTTTTCTGATTGAAGTCTGGATCGATATCCTCAGAATTTTCCTCCTCTCTGCCACCCTCCAGGACCCGACCTCTCTTCAGTTCTCCTTTCCCTATTATCCAATCTTTGTTTTGCTACACGATCCACTGTGGAAACTATCAACTTAGCCTTCTGTTTTTCTTCCCCATTTTCCCTTCTGGCATATATCTTCTGAGCCTCTTGTAAGAGCTCCTCCAGGGGCCTCGTATTCCATCCTATCTTCAGAAGTGTTCTCTGTATGTCTGGAAATGCCTTAGTTATAAAATTCACCTTAAGGAGCCCTTGGGCTACAGGATCCTCAGGATTCATTCCTGAGTATTTTCTCATCCTGTCTCTAAGCCTTTCTAGAAAATCACTAGGGGATCCATCCTTATTCTGCTGAACCTCAAATGCCTTAGTGAGATTCTGGTTCTGAGGTTCTGCCTCCTTAATTCCAGCCATTATTATATCTCGCAAGTCCTTCATGTTCTGCCAATGTTGTGCATTATTGCAGTCCCAGTTAGGGTCTTCCACTGGATATTTTTGCTGTGCCGGCACCATCCCAAGGCATCCAGGGGGATTATTCTTTTCCCATTCTCGCATAGCAGCTCGTCTGATCGTAACCCTTTCCTCCCTTTTCACAAGGGAGTTGCTGCCGTTGGCTGCTGTTAGCAGCCGGCTCTCCCCTCAGACGGCGCTGGTCCCACAGCCGCTGCACGCCAGAGCTCCGGGCAGCACCGAGACAGAACCGCGGCACAGCGGGAGCGGTGCTGAGCACAGCGGCGCCGGAGCTGGGAGGGACGGAGAACGGCACCGGGCTGGGGAAGGAAGCCTGTGCGTGGGGTGAGGGGCTGGGAGCGGGGCTGGGATGTGGAGGGAGACGGGATGGGGTGTGGGGAAGTGGGATAAATATGGGACGGGCTGTGGATGTGGGATCAGTATGGGGCTCCGGGGAGCTCTGGGAGAGATACAGGGGGCTGACGGGGAAATAGAGGGGGGCGAGGAAGCTGTGGGGAGCTGGGGAGGGCTGCGGGGGGGCAGGGGGCTACAGAAGGCTGTTGGGGTATAGGGGGGGCACATGGGGCTGAAGTGGGCTGTGGTAGGGGATTGGGTATATGGGACTCCAGGGGTGGGTCTGGGGGGATTTGAGGCAATAGAGGGCCGTGAGGAGGTTAGGGGGGACACGGTGCTATAGGGAGCATTGGAGGGGGTTTGTGGAGGGGCTCCAGGGGCTGGGGAGAGCTGTAGGGAGCGATATAAGAGGCTAGGGGAGGATATTAGAGAATGTGGTTGAATAGATGTCTATAGGGGGCAAATAGGTGGGCTAGAAGGGGATATGGGGCTAGAGGGAGCAATAGGTGTGATATGGAGAAGCAGATGCAATAGGGGTCTGTGGAGGGGTACAGGTGGGACATAGGGAGATATGAGGTTATAAAAGGCTGTAGGGGAGCTACAGGAGGCTTACATAAGTTCTAGTAAAGTATAGGGTAATATGAGGCTATGACGGGGCTATAGGGTAATGTGGGGAGAGGAGGCATAGGTAAAGGCACAGATGTAGAAACGATAAGGGGGATAAAGGGGGCCAATGGGTGGATATAAAGTAACTTCAGGGGGCTGAAAGAAAAAGTAATAAAATAAAAAGTAAGAAAAGATAAAAAGTCTAAAAAAGAAAAACCAAGCAAGAAACAAACAAGCAACAACAACAACAAAAATGGGGAGGGTTGTAAGGAAAATAGAAAGAAAGAGGAAAGAAAGAGAATAAAAAGTGAAAAGCAGTGCATGTAAATGTAGAGAAAGCAAGTAGGAAAGCTAACCATAGCACAGCAAAGCAAGGCAAGGGAAAGAATGAAACAGTGCAACCTTGCAGGAATGGAGGAAAGGGGAAGAGCTGAGCCCTGGCTTGCCACAGGAGCTGCGCGGAAGGAGAAGAAGCTGGGCCCAAAGGTGAGAGGGGTTTGGTCCTTTGGGCTGTGGGCTTGAAGCCAAGCTGAGAAGCCGTGCCAGGAGGAGGTGTGGGCAGCTGCAGGCCACCTTGCCGTCTCCCCAAGAGATGCGGGCTGTGGGCCGGCAGCGGGCAGGAGTGCTGGCCAGAAGCAAGCATCTCTTGGAGGAAGGCAAAGTGCAGAGGAGGTTGAAGGGGAGCTACCGGGCACGGCCTCGCTCAGCAAGGGGAGGAAAGCCTGAAGGGCATGAGAAGGGAAGAGAGAAGGGCAGGCAGGCGGCGTGAAGCTTGAGCAGAGCTGAGAGGCACCGGGCAGAACAGCAAGCAGAGGAGGCAAGTGTTGGGATTTGGTGTGAGTAGCAGCGAAAGCCAAGAGCATGAAGAAGGAAGAAGTGAGGAGAAGGTAAGTGAAGGGCAGGTGAGGTAATGGTAGAGGGAAGGGGAGGGGCAAGGGAGAAAAGAGGGGGTGGGAGAAGAGGAGAGGGGAGGGGGGTTGAGGGGAGGGTTAAAGGAAAATCTATGATTAAAATCAGAAAAAGAGAAAAAAAAGAAACAAAACAGAGAAAAAAAAAAGGAATAGATAATAAAAATAAGAAAAAAAAGATGAAGAGAAAACAGAAAAAAATGAAAAAAAGCAAAAAAATTAAAAAGTAGAAAAGAAAAAAAGAAGAAAATAGGTATTTAATGGAAAAAAGGGAAAAAAGAAAAATCAAAAAGAAAAAAATAAAAGGAGAAAAAAAGAGAGGAAATAGAAAAGAGAGAAAAGGACTAAAACAAGAAAAGAGAAGAAAGGCAAAGAGAATAGGAGAAAAAAGCCAAGTAAAAAGTGAAGAATAAGAGCTAAGAAAAGAATGGGTGGCAAGAAATGTGGAGAGAGCAATGCACAGCATTGCAAAGGAAAGCAAGGCAAGAGTAGCAGCAAAAGGCAGAGAATGCAGAAGAATTCCGTGAAGAGCAGGAGAGGTAAGTTGGGCATAAGGCAAGGGGAAGGGGTGGGGAAAGGAGAAAAGGGGGGAAAGGGGAGGAGAGGGGAGAAGGAGGAGGCAGAAAATGAGAGGCAGGGGTGAGGGGAGGGGAGAGTGGGTGGGCTGGGGTGGGGAGGGTTGAAGGGGAAATGGCACTAAAAAACCGGCTTCTGTTTCGGCATTAAAAGAGCAAAGTGAATTTCTTGGTTTGCACCAAACAGCACAAACAACACTGCAGTGATTTTCTTTCTGCTCTGACAGCATCTCTGTGTCTTTAATGTCCCTTTAATGTCCCTTCCCAGCCCGGCCGTTCCAGCACTCCACATGACAGTCAGTGGCCTCCTGCTGCTCTGCATGGCTGGGAATCCTCCCCCAGCACGGCAGCGAGCCCAGGGGCAGCGGCCCAGGTGGCGGAACAGACGTGAGCTGCCAATGCTCAGCCTGGTGCCCTGAGCTCACAATGCTCAGCCTGGTGCCGTGAGCTCACAATGCTCAGCCCACACCCCAGGCGTTCCGTGCCGGCCGGCGGCACTCACTTGGCTGCAGCGCTGGTGGTGGCAGCATGGCACGAGTGTGGGGGGCCGCGGCCCCCGCCCGCCTTGCTCTCCTCCTCCTACTGGCGGCCACGTGTTCCCAGGAGACTGGTGCTGCTCCGTGGCGAGCACCAGCAGGTGGGTGGGCAGAGATGGGGCCGAAATCAAGCGACGGTGAGGGCGAGAGGTCCGGGCTCTTGTCCCCTTCTGCCCCGGGGCCGCCTGCCGTGGGGCTGTTGGGGTGGGGGGACGGGCGGCACTGCAGGAGCTGGGGAGGGCGTGAGGAAGCGATGCTCTGCAGGCCGTGCCGGGCCGTGGCTCTGTGCTGGCTGAGCGGCTCTTTGCCCGGGGTATCCTGGGGGAGCTCAGCAGATTGTGTGCTGGGAAAAGCGGGAGCGTTTCTGCTCCGGCTTCCTGCTGCTCCCCGCAGGCAAATCCCAGCTCCAACAGAGCCTGCCGGCCAGAGCCCAGACCAACAAACAGGCATCATTTCCTCCAGTGCTTTAGTGTGAGATACAGGAGGGATTTCCCAGTATGAAAGCCCTGATGGCTGTGTGCCCTTCCGTGCGGTCCCAGCGGCGCGTTGCACGTGGCCTGCAGAGAGCATTTGGAAAGCTGCCAAGGCTCCAGGTTGCCCTGGCCGCTCTGCAGCCTTGGCGATCACAGCCTGGGTCTCCCATCCCGTTACCTGGCCCCTCCCAGTCACTAGGGGAAAAGGAGATCTTGACATGCAATGGGGACGAGTCTCACCTGTTCTTGATTCTAGATGACGCTGATGCTCCTTATCCAGAGGATTGGGTGGACACTGCTTTTGTGCCTCAGGGGAACCCCAGAGGTAAGTTGTGTCTGTTTCCTTGAAGGCAGAAAAATTAGTGCTGTCGTAGTTTATTCAGGTACTTAAGAACTCCAAAGGTCTTTCAAGTCTCTTTGTGCCTTAAAGGCCCTGTTCTGTACGCAGAACAGTCCTGAGTATTTCTTTACTTGGAGAACTTCCCATTTCAGTGGGAAAGCAGCCCTGGCTGCTCTTTGGAGGAGAGAACCTCTACATTTGCCGTTTGGACCATGTCTTTCCCGGACCTGCTGCCAGTCCTTGCAGGTCACTGCAGAAAGTCCAGGCCCCAAGGTGCAATGGAAGCTGTCCTCACCTGTGTCTGATCACATCTGTGCCTGCAGGTCTTCTCGGTGAATTAGCAGAGCGGAGTCCTGTTGCTGAGCCTGGGCTGGATGCCAGAGGTGAGCCACCAGCCTTCATCTCACGTTCTTTGCTCGTATGTAGTTGTGGCAGTTGAGGCAGGGTTCAGCTTTTCACTGCTCTGTGATTTCTACTCCCTGTTTGTTGGGTGCTGCGAGCTCCCAGTGTCCTGTTGGCTTCGTCTCTGTACAACACAGATCTCTCCAGTAAGAAAACCCAGATATTCTTCCATGCTGTCTCTGAGGATTGTTTCAAACAACCTGGAGAGAGTATCCGGAAAGCTGCTGAGTGCCAGGCAACTCCCACCTGGCCCTCCTGCAACTTGCATAACTCTGCTACGCAGCTGCGTAGATGGCAGCGTGTGATGGAAAGTTCTCAGCCTTTGGGTGCAGAAGTGCCTGCAGGGAAGGCTGGGCAAAAATCCTTGGCTGCTTCCTGTGCTGTAGCCCCACAGGCGTCCCAGGGGCTGCTGTTGTCTTTATCAACTTCACCAAAAAGACCATTCAGTTCAATCCTTTGTCTGAAATGTTTTTTCATGGTTTCTGTTAAGGTCCTGAGGTATGGAAAGAGACATCGAGAACTGGAAAATATCCGCAGAGGCTCTCCCATGTCCTGAAGAAAATCATGAAGGAGAAGGCAGCGCACGGTGGGTGTCTCTCTGTTCACTGAAAGACTGGGGAAGCTGAGTTTCTAGATAGATACATGGAGAAACTGTAACGTGCACAGCAGGAAAGGATGGATCAGAGCCCTCTGATCTGAACTGGCTGGTGGCATCATCTTGCAACTTGCCAGAATCGCACAAGAAGCCTGCCTGCAACCTGCTGGTCTCCCAGCAGGACAGGTCTTGCTGTCTGTGCTCGCAAACTGGGAAGTGTGCAGCACTTCAGTTTGTCTCACAGAATGGCATGCAGTTTGGAGCAGGAATGGGGTGCACCACAAAAAGCCCAGGCTTTGTTCCTAAACTCTACTGATGTGTCTAGAGAACTGGTGCCTCCTGCAGATACCATCTTTCTGATGAGAAGCAGTTACTTACAGCCCCGCTCTCTTACCTCCTTTCTAAAGAGGCAGACGGAGAGCCTGAGCACAGGGATGCATTTCAGGCAGGCAGCCGTCGCACAGCGCACGTCCTTCTGGGAGAAACAGAGGCCAAGCACACGACTGGCACTCCAGGTAAAGCCCCTCCTAGAGCTCCGTGGCCATGGTCAGAGGTTGCTGCCCTCCCATCACCCCCAGTTCCCAGGGATTTAGGAACTTTGGCCAGGGGAACCACATTCAGCAGATGAGGAGAGGAAATAGGACCCTCCAACGTACCTCCCTCCCACAGTCCCTGCATTCCAGAGCTTGCTGTGCCTCCCTTGAGGCGCCTGGCACACCAGCAGCCCGCAGCGGGATCCCTCCTGCAAACTGAGCTCCAGAGGGACGCACTGACTCCCTAGAGGGAGCCTCCCCGTCCTGCCTCCTCTTTGCCTGCACCATGCTGAGACTTTGCCTTTCTCTCATTCTTCACAGTGCTGTTAAAGCCCCAGGAAGCCCTGTACAAATGGATCCGTGGTTTTTTTCAGAAGAATCCAGGTGAGCAACAATCAGGCCGGAGTTCATAAAGGGGAGAAAACTCGGAGCCTGCAAGTTGTGCCCACGCCGGGTGAAAGGCAAAAAGGGAGAGGCAGGTTCAGGTGCCTGCAGAGATGGTCTGACTCTGCCTCCGAGTGGGTTCCCAGTGGGAGGGGGGAGCTCAGGGCTTGTTCTCGTCCGTGTCACTCATAGCACAATTGGTTAAAGAGATCCACACGCTCTCCTTCTGCTCTAAGGAGTTTTCTTTAGTCAGACAACGTGCCCCAAGCGGTCACGGTGTGCCTGCAGCAGCACTGCCCAGCCTCACAAGGCGAGGGTGGGCGAGTACAAAAGAAATCTTAGAGCATGATGGAGAAGAAGGAGCAAATCCATGGCCCAGGAACATTTGGATGGTGGCAGAGCCAGAGTGTAAACAAAGCTGAGAGGCAGAACAGAGGCTCTAGAGTGCGTTGATGTGCAGCGCCTTTGGCAACTCCCTTAGCTTCCCCTGGAATCAGGGAAAGCATTGCAGTCTGAGGATTTTCACTTGTTCCAGGAGGCCAGCAAAATGAGAAGAGCATTTTGTGGCCGTGTCAGAGCTGCTGCGAGATTGCTGGTATGGCACGAGACACAGCAACGACCACTTTATTCCTGCAGGTGTGGATGACGAAGGACATGCAAACGCCAAGCAAGTTAAAGATGCACAGAAGTTGTACCTGGAACTTGCCGCATCTGTGCCAGTTTCCCTGTTGCTAACAATGATTCTGTGCTGCGTTCTTTTCTGGTGGTGCAGGAAGAGAAAGCAGTGAGTTGTTGTTCACCCCCACCCCCATCCTGCCCAATTCTTTACTGCAGGGCTGCAGTGAGCCAGGAGGCATTTCTAGTTAAAGCAGCACAGAGAGGCGGGTCAGCCGTTGGCTAACATGGTCTGAGATCTGTGCTGTTAGACGTTGGAGTGGCGCGGCCATTCCTGCAGCCCGTTCTTAGACGGGCTGAGATCCGATGGCGGCTCTTTGCCATGAGGAAGGAGAGCAGGGGCTCTGCTGCGCCCTCAGCACGTTCTTCTCTCCGCAGGCGCCTCGCTGCAGCTGACGGAGCGCGGGACGATAGCAGCAGCTACAGCTCGCCGTCAGAGGAGGAGTCTGCTGACCTCGAGTGGCCCAACAGACAGACAAACCATGAACTATCTGCGTGGGAACAACCTGCCCACCAGCCGCAGGGCACCAGCAGAGCGGCCCCTGCCAGGCTGGACAGCCGCCGGGCTCAGCTACCCCCGCCTCGACCCCCGCGGCCCCCCAGCCCGGGCTCTGCATTGCGGGGGATCAGCGACAGGCCCAGCAGCCCCCGGCCCCAGCGGGCATCAACGCCACCCCCTCGTCCTCCTCCACCATCCTTCAAGGGACGGAAGGAACCAGCCGGGGGCGGAGGCTTGCGGTCATCGTCCAGCACCGAACCGATTGTTCCCCAGCAGATGAGAAACAGGCCCAGCAGCCCCCAGCCCCAGCAGGCATCAACGCCTCCCCCTCGTCCTCCTCCACCATCCATCAAGGGACGGAAGGAACCAGCCGGGGGTGGAGGCTTGCGGTCATCGGCCAGCACCGAACCGATTGCTCCCCAGCAGATGAGCGACAGGCCCAGCAGTCCCCGGCCGCAGCGGGCATCAACGCCGCCCCCCCGTCCCCCACCACCATCCTTCAGGGAACGGGAGCGGTCTCCTCAGCATGTCCGCTTGGGGGCATCATCCAGCACATGGGTAACCACTGCCTCGGGGGAGCCTGAGAGACTCAGCAGCCCCCAGCCCCCCCCGGCACCACCTCTGCCCCCCTCCTCCTCTCCACCATCCTTTAGGAGGTGGGAGCAGCGTCCCCAGGTTCTCAGCTCGGGGGCATCATCATACCCCTGGAAAACCACTGCCAGGGGGAAACAGACCAGGCCCGGCAGCCCCCAGCCCCCCCCAGCGCCGCCTCTGCCATCCCCGTTCCCTCCATCACCTGTCAGGGAATGGAAGCGATCCGCGCAGAGTGCCGACTCAGGGAAACTGTCCGACAGGACAGCCGCTGCCAGGGGGAAGCAGGACCGGCCCAGCAGCCCCCGGCCTCCCTGGGTGCCGTCACCAGCCTCCCGTTCCCCTCTGCGATCCTTCAGGGGACGGGAGTGGCCCCCCCAGGCCTCCCCGCGGCCCTCCCCCTCCTCTCCACCATCCTTTAGGAGGTGGGAGCAGCCCCCCCAGGGTCTTGGCCTGGGGGAATTATCCAGAAGACCAACAACTGTGGCCTGGGGGAAGCGTGAGCAGTTCACCAGCCCACAGCCGCCCCGAGCACCATCCTCTCCCTCCCCTCAAGCATCTTTCCGGCGGTGGGAGTGGCCCCCCCGGGGCATCAGCTCAGGGGCTTCATTAGATAAGTGGAAGACCACTGCGAGGGGGAAACAGACCTGGGCCAGCAGCCCCCAGCACCCCCCAGCACTACATCTGCCCTTCCGCTCTCCTCCACTCTCCATCGGAAGGTGAGAGCACCCCCAGCATGCGGGTTTGGGACACCGTCGGACATCCGCAGAACCGCTGCTGTCATGTACCTGAGATTACCAATAAACAACATAACACCACAGCTGTCCACGTGCTGCTGTGTCATTACCTGACCTGCTGCCAGACCTTGTGTGCCACTTGGCAGACGACGATCATACGGGTGGGAATGGCTTTAAACTCAAAGAGTGCAAACTGAGGTAGTTGTGCAGAGGAAATTCCTCTCCCAAAGGCAGCGAGGCCCTGGCCCAGGGTGCCCAAAGGCTGTGGGTGCCCTACAGGACAGGGGACAAGGGTGGGAGTGCATGATGCAAAAGCACCAGCGCTCCTGCATAAGGTTCAGCAGACAGCAGGCACCATCCTGCTCTGACCAGTAGGCAACCATTCGCTCTGCAATAGGAACCAAGCAAGAACTACTAGCACATTTTCTTCCTTTTTTTTTAGATTGGCCACTGCAGTAAAGGAGAATAAGAAATCCTTTTACAAATATATCAATGGCAAGAGAAAAAACAAGGATAATCTCTATCCTTTAATTGATGCGGTGGGGAATGTGACTACAGATGACAAGGAGAAGGCTGAGGTCCTCAACGCCTTCTTTACATCTGCCTTCAATAGTCAGACCTGTTATCTTCAGGGCACTTTGTGCCCTGATCTGGATATCTGGGCTGACACGCAGCATGTCTCCCCGGAGATTGAGGTGGAGGCCGTTAGGGAGCTCCTCCTCCATCTGGACAGTCACAAGGCCATGGGACCGGATGGGCTTCATCCTAGGGTGCTGAGGGAGTTGGCAGGGGTGATTGCTAAGCCGTTCTTGGCTATCTGCCAGCACTCCTGGTTGACTGGAGAGGTTCCAGAGGATTGGAGGCTTGCTGATGTGACTCCCATCTACAAGAAGGGCCGTAAGGAGGATCCGGGAAACTAAAGGCCTGTCAGCCTGACATCAGTGCCAGGGAAGGTCATGGAACAAATCCTCCTGGGAGAGATCACACAGCTCGTGCGCGATGTCCATGGGATCAGGCCCAGCCAGCATGGGTTCATGAAAGGCAGGTCATGTTTGACCAACCTCATCTCCTTCTACGACTGGGTGACCAGACTGATAGATGAGGGAAAGGCTGTTGATGTCGTCTACCTAGACTTCAGCACAGCCTTTGACACGGTCTCTCACAGTATCCTGCTGCAGAAACTGGCTGCCTGTGGCTTGGACAGTTTTGCCCTCCGTTGGATAAGGAACTGGCTGCAGGGCCGTGCTCAACTGGTGGTGGTCAATGGAGTGAAGTCTAGCTGGAGACCTGTTTCAAGTGGTGTCCCCCAGGGGTCGGTGCTGGGGCCCATCTTATTTAATATCTTCACTGATGACTTAGATGAAGGGATTGAGTGTACCCTGAGTAAGTTTGCAGATGGCACCAAGTTGGGAGGTGGTGTGGATCTGCCTGAGGGCAGGGAGGCCCTGCAGAGGGATCTAGATAAGCTGGATCGCTGGGCCGAGGTGAATGGGATGAGGTTTAACAAGGCCAAGTGCCAGGTCCTGCATTTGGGCACAACAACCCCATGCAGCACAAAGGTTTGGGGATGAGTGGTTGTGAGTGTGGAGAGGAAAGGGACCTGGAGGTGTTGGTTGGTGCTCCGCTGAACACGAGCCAGCAGCGTGCCTAGGTGGCCAAGAGGGCCAGCGGCATCCTGGCCTGCATTAGAAATGGTGTGGCCAGCAGGAGCAGGGAGGTGATCGTCCCCTTGTACTCAGCTCTGGTGAGGCCGCACCTCGAGTGCTGTGTTCAGTTTTGGGCCCCTCACTGCGAGAAAGACAACAAGGCCCTGGAACGTGTTCAAAGGAGAGCAACAAAGCTGGTGAGGGGTCTGGAACACAAGTCTTATGAACAGTGGCTGAGGGAGCTGGGATTGTTCAGTCTGCAGAAGAGGAGCTCAGGGGAGGCCTCATTGCACTCTACAACTTCCTGAAGGGAGGCTGTGGTGTAAAAGGGTCTGGCCTCTTCTCCCAGGCTTGAGGAGGTACAACCCCAAGTTGTACCAGAGGAGGTTTAGGTTGGACATGAGGAGAAACTTTTTCTCTCAGAGGGTGGTCAGGCACTGGAATGGCTGCCCAGGGAGGTGGTGGAGTCCCTGGCAGCGTTCAAGAGGCGCCTGGATGAGGAGCTACAAGATGTGGGTTAGTGCTTGTGGTACTGATAGGAATGGGAGAGGGGTTGGACTGGATGATCTTGCAGGTCGTTTCCAACCTTGTGATTCTGTGATTCTGTGCTTTTGGCTCTGTGGGCTGGATCGAGAATCTGAAAGTGGAGAGAGACGAGAGGAAGGCAGTGCTGCAAACCTGGTGTGCCTGCTGCCACTGCTCACTGTGATTGCAGTCGCCTTCTCAGAGGCGCAGTCCATCGTGCTACCAGAAGTGGAGCTCGGCTGCCAGCATTGCACCCTGCAGCTCCTCCCAGCACCTGCCCTGCGTCACTGATTTTCGGGATCCTGCAGGGGGTGCAACATTCCCGTTTCCTCCCAGCTCTCAGCACTCCTCAGGAGCTGTGGCCATAAATAAAGCAGCTGTCAGTCAGCTGGAAAAGGAAGGAAGGAAAGAGGAAAGAAGGAAAGAAAGGGAAGGGAAGGGAAGGGAAGGGAAGGGAAGGGAAGGGAAGGGAAGGGAAGGGAAGGGAAGGGAAGGGAAGGGAAGGGAAGGGAAGGGAAGGGAAGGGAAGGGAAGGGAAGGGAAGGGAAGGAGTCCTTTATCACTGGACTGTCAGCTATTTCTGGCAGTGAATTCTCTCTTTGTAGCACTGATTTGGTGGCAGTCATTGTGAGGTTTGCCTTGCTTTCCCTCTGGGTTCTCTGCACGTGCCCCTTTCTGAAATTGTACTTCTCACTGGGGAAACCCCCTCACAATCTTTCCTCTTCACCTTTAGACTGGACATCAGGAAGGATATAAGGAGTCTTTAGATTGCACATAAGGAAGAAGACTGTGAAATAAGGGTGGCACTGGAACAGGGGACACTGAGGGACCCTGGGGATCTCTGGAGCCCCGAGATCTGCAGATGGATGGGATGAGGGCAACATCCCTGCCCTGTTCCAGGGGGCCCATTGCCACCCCACAGCTTCCCTCATGCTTTGTGGGGCTGTGCCCAGGAGGAGGGTCTCGAGGTGCCCTAGAGATGGCCCAGGGTCACTGTGCAGATGGGACAGTGGCTGTGGCTGCTGCCTCCAGGGGACAACGTCCTGCCCTGGGCTGCTGCCAGCCCCACTCCTGCCCAAAATCCTGGGGCACAAACCCTGCTGGGACGAGGCTTCTCCTCGGTCAGTGGCAGCTTTTGACGTCCTCTGCTGACCCATGGAGTCCATTGAAGGAAGCGAAGACCCTGATGATCTCCGACATCCTCCTGAGATCAATAAAGCCCTCAGCAAAGCCACTCTCTGTGTCCGTGTCCTCGTCCCCACACTCGGCAGGGACTGCTCGTGTCTGTCCCTGCCTGGCAGAGGCCACCCCTAAGGCTGGGAGGGTCCCCAGCTCCGTGCCCCACACCGCGGGCCTCTCCATCCCCTCTGCGCGTGCAGCCGTCCCCGCGGCGACAGCGCATGCGTGGCGGCGTCTCCATGGCGACAGCGCCTCAGCGTCTCAGCGCCCGCTCTGTCGCTAAATCGACGCGCCGTCCCCGCCGAGTGACGTCATCGCCCTGCGACCCGAGGAGGCGCCCGTGCGGAAGCGGCGCGGGGCAGCCCGGGGCTCCGAGCACCGCCTCGGCTTCTACAGGTGGGCGTTCGGGGGACGCCGGGGGGCCGCTGCCGCTCTGCGTCTGCCCCGCGGGGTCTCTGCGGTGCTCGCGGCTTCCGCTCGGCGGGGGCGGCTGCCCCGCTTCTCCCCGCCTCCCCCACTCCGTGTGTTTCGCTGCCCTCCCCCCTCTCCCCTGCCGCTGATGGCCCGCACCCTCCCGGTGACCCCCGGGGTTACGCCCTTCCCCCCATCCCCCTCCCCTCCAGTTCCTCCATTCTGATCGCCGCAGTCCTCTTCCACCCCTCCCCTGTGTGCCTTCCCCATTCTGACCCCCAGGGTCCCCCTCCCCCTCACTCCCTCATCCCTCCCCAGTGCCCCGTTCTGATCCCAAGTGTCCCCCCATCCCCCACCAGTCTTCCCATTCTGTCCCTTAGAGTCCTCCCCCATTTCCAATCCCCTCTATCCAACCCCCAGAATCCCCTCCTCCCATCAACTGCCCCACTCCAAATCCCCCATTCTGATCCCTAGAGTCTCCTCCCACCCCCCATTCCCCTCTATCTGACCCCCAGGGTCCCGTATCCTCCCTTCTCCCCCCCACCTCCTGGCCCCTTTTTCTGACCCCTAGAGTCCCCTGTACCCCCCTGTGTTCTCCTCACTGACCCCTGGAGTCAGTTCCCCCATTTTGAGCTCCAATCCCCCCCCCAGCCAGACCCCTTTTCTGCCCACTAGAAGCCTCCACAACCCCTGGCTCTTCCCTCCCACCCTCCCTCCACCCCCAGATTCTCTTCCTGCCTTGTAGAGATTCTGTTTGCCCCTTTCGCCCCCACAATCCACTAAGTTTCCCCCCAGACTCTTTGTTGACCCCATAGACATCCCACTCTCCTCTTCTCTCCCCCAATACTCCCCTAAGGTCTCCCACACTCTCCTTCCACCCCATAGAAGCTCCCCACAACCCTCCAGATTTCCTCTGCCACTCTCTCTCCACTCCTAGACTCCCTTTCCTCCCAAAAAAGGCCCAACTCACCCTCTTTTTCCTCCCACACAACTCCCTGTCCACTCCCTGACCCCCCTTTCTGCCCTACAAAAGCCCATTTTCTCCCTTTCAACCCCCCAAGTTCCCCTCCACTATGTACCCCTCCATCCCCAGGCCCCCTTTTCACTCACAGAAGCCTTGTTCTCCTCTCTTCCCCCTCACAACCCCCTCTCTCCATCCTCAGACCCCCTTTCCATGCCATAGAAGCCCCCCACAATTCCTCAGTCTCCCCCTTCCAACCTTTCTCCATCTCCAGACCCTCTTTCCACCTCACAGAAGCCCCACTCACGCCTTTTCCCCCCATAGATTCCCCATGAGCCCCCTGTCCACCCCTGGAGTCA